AGCCAAACACGAACCCAAATATTTAAATCGAGCCGAACACGAACATACTGTTCACGAGCCGATTTCGAACACGAGCCGATTTCGAACACGAGCTATTTCGAACAAGCCGAACACGAGCCAAGCCTGAGCTCGCTCAAGCTTGGCTCGTTTACAGCCCTAATCAGAACTAATTCAAACAAGAATAGAAATAAAAATATTATTGCTGAATTCAAATAGGGTTGCAACGACGACTCTTTAAACAAGAAATAAGCGATAACAAACATAAAACGACACAAACAAACACCCCTAAAGCGTATCTCAGGGCGGTGGAGGTCGGTTAGGTGGATCGAGATATTTGACAGGGGTGGCGACAACAAAGGAATGTTGGCAATAGCGAGGGGAGATTGTAGAAATGCAGGGACAAGTATGTAGGCTTTCCTGGGTCATGGCAGCGAGAAGTGGTGGTAGATGGCGAAGGGATAGCAGTAGGGACCTGGCTGTTCTGGGCGGAGTGACATAGTGGGAATATTGGGATAGCACAGACGAGTTGTGGTTTGGACGACAGCAAAACTGGAAGGAAGTGGGAGGCGACTGGGAAGCTGGGACGATAAAAAATAGCTAATGTAAGGCAGTTGTGGTTGTTGAAGTGATATACAACAACTGGGAGCGATGGGGGAGGATGTGGAAGGAGAGTAGGAAAATAATCACCACCTTGGGAGTGAGAAACAATAGCCTAAGCACCACCCAAATCCCTTGGATACAACCCTTGATGGGAAGAACGGACGCGGAGGGCTATCTTGATAGAAACCTGAAATAAAACTCACCAAAAATTTACCTTAAGACAACCAACGACATACTTATAACAAGTAATAGCATTTAGAATAGGAAGGAATTAGAATAGATAGAAAAGTTAAGGGATCAAATAGGAAAAAGGGCCGCGGTACTGTAGTTGCTATAGTACCTACTGTAGCAGCTACATTACCACGACTCAAGTTCCCGCCTCAGTCTTTTGGAGTTGAGGGAGCTTCGACTTCATTCTTTGAAGCTTCTGGTTCTTTGTAGTACAGATTCAAGTTTACCACGCTGATGGTAGCTTAGATATTGCAATCCCTTGGGAGGTCGATCGTGTAGGTGTTATCATTTCACAACACGTCTTGATAGAATAAATATGCATCTTCTCTTGGTTCATCCTAAATTGGAGCTGCATATATATGTAGGTTCACATAATATAACTCTTGTGCACTTAAGTCTGTAACATTCTTTTTTCACTTCTCGTACTCGGCGGAATGTAGCTGATAAACCAATATGTGAGGAGAAGTCAATCTGCGATGAAATATATAGCAGACTTCACCACTCTCACCAGTAACCACTCAAGTAATAGGATCTGAATACCATTGAAGAAATTTTTTCCCCATCAAACTTGTAAGTCAAGTTTCATCCCTTCTGCTTAGACATCTGATGATGGGTAGCATGCTAACCTGAATATAACATCTGAATAGTTCCATGTAATCTTTCTGACGTGGCACAAAAGGGCCTCATCTTTGTCATGCGAGACTTCCCTCAGTAGGGGCAACTCAGGGATGAGTGTAGATTTGAAAGGTCTGAATTTTTCTTATTCGGGGTTGCTCTATGTCTGATATCGTCTCCCCAAACTCATGGCTGCTTTGGATATCCAAAACCGGTCCTGTTGATGCTCTTCTGAATGCCTGCAAAAATTTTAGCTCGAGGCACCATAATCTCATACTTTGCCGGAATGCCCATTACATCAGAGTCACTGCCTTCTAAACAAACTACTGTTAACTCGATTGAAATCTTTTTCTTGGGGTTAACTGGAATCAATGGGTCTCTTCTTCGTTGGATAAAAATTGAGAATCCTCTTTGAAGTCTGCATCCTTTCCGGATCACCGTTTACCATTTCAACTGGTAGTCGGTCCTTTTGCTTGTGTCCTCACCTTCTTCAATATCTACTGTATCACTGCCCAATTTTTCAAGAATGCCTTGATCCATGAAATAAATCACCCCACTGATTGTGCAGTTTGATTCAACATGCGCAAATTCGTGGCACTTGCAACACTGCTTGACTGAGACAGATTTATGGATGTAGATTGTTTCCACTTATTCTCCACCCGACTCAGCCCGACTCAGCCCGACTCAGCTTTTCCTCTGACGGGGTCATCTTGAATATTCTCCTGAATGTAATTTAACTATAAGAGCCTATGGTTGAGCACTGCCTGTAAGACTTGGTGGTCGTTCGGTGAAGTGGTCTCTCCACTTCTGAAGTTAGAGTATAAATTTTATGTCTATAGTAAGTTGGCAGGGACCGGTGTTGGATATCTCGCTTGATCTTCAGATTCTCCCGTTCTTCACATGTGATCTTTCACTCAACCTACTCGGATACTGGATTCCAAAGCGTCGATGCTTGTCTTCTGCATCACTAAAGTCCTCTCTATGGAGGGGATTCATATCCTCGTCTCTTGCTCTCCTTCGATTCTCTAATGTAAGGCTGTTGTGGTTGTTGCAGTGATATACAACAACTGGGAGCGGCGGGGGAGAATGTGGAAGTAGATAGTAGAAAAATAATCATCATCTTGGGAGAGAGATACAAACTGAGCACCACTCAAATCCCTTGGATACAACTCTCCATGGGAAGAACGGATGCCGAGGTCTACCCTGATAGAAATCTAAAATAAAACTCACAAAAAATTAATCTTAAAACAACAAATAACATATTTATAATAAGTAATAGTATTTAAAATAGGAAGGAATTAGAATAAGTAGTAGAAAAGGTAAGGGATCAAATAGGAAAAAGGGTTTGCGGTATTGTAGTTGCTATAGTACATATTGTAGCAGCTACATTACTGCGACTCAAGTTTTTACGCCAATCTTCTGGATTTGAGGGAGCTTCAACTTCAAGCTTCTAGTTCTTTGTAGTACGGAGTCAATTTTACCACACTGATGATATATTAGATATTGCAATCCCTTGGGAGGTCGATTATGTACGTGTTGTCATTTCACAACACGGCTTGATATAATAAATATGCATCATCTCTTGGTTCGTCATAAGTTGGAGCTGCATATACATGTAGGTTCACTTAATGTAACTCTTGTGCACTTAAGTCTGAAACCTTCTTTTTTCACTTCTCGTACTCGACGGAATGTAGCTGATAAATCAATATGTGAGGAGAAGTCAACTTGGGGTAAAATCTGTAGCAGGCTTCACCACTCTCACCAGAAACCACTCAGGTGATAAAACCTGAATACCATTGAAGAATTTTTTCCCCCACCAAACTCGTAAGGTAAGGTTCATCCCTTCTGCCTAGACATCTGATGATGTCATGCTAACTTGAATATAACTTCTGAATAATTCCATGTAATTTTTCTGACGTGGCACAAAAGGGCCTCAACTTTGATATGCGGGACCTCCCTCAGTGGGGGCAACTCAAGGATGAGTTTGGATTTGAAAGGTCTGAATTTTTCTTATCCGGGGTTGCTCTGTGCCTGATATCAGCTCCCCGAACTCATGGCTCCTTTGGACATCAAAGGCCGGGCCTGTTGATGCTCTTTTGAATGCCTGCAAAATGTTAGCTCGAGGCATCATAATCTCATAGTTTGCCGGAATGTCCATTACATCAGAGCCACTACCTTCTAGAACAGCTACCGTTAACTCAATTGAAATCTCTTTCTTGGGGTTAACTGGAATCAATCAGTCTCTTCTTCGTTGGATAAAATTGAGACTCGTCGTTTTCAATATCTACTGTATCACTGCCCAATTTTTCAAGAACGCCCTGATTCGTGAAATAGTTCACCCCCCTGGTTGTGCAGTTTGATTCAACATGCCCAAATTCGTGCACTTGCAACACTTCCTGACTGGGACAGATTTAGGGATGCAGATTGTTTCCACTTATTCTCCACCCCGACTCAGCTTTTCCTCTGACGGGGTCATCTTGGATATTCTCCTGAGTGTAATCTGACTGCAAGAACCTGTGGTTGAACAATGCCTTTAAGATGTGGTGGTTGCTCGGTGAAGTGATCTCCGAACTTCTGAAGCTAGAGTATGAATTTTATGTCTATAATAAGTTGGTAGGGATCGGTGTTGGATCTCTCGCTTCATTTTCAGATTCTCCCGTTCTTCACATGTTGGCTCTTCACTCAACCTAGTCTGATGCTGGATTACAAAACGTCGCTGCCGGTCTTCTGCATCACTAAAGTCCTCTCTATGGAGGGGATTCATATCCTCGTCTCTTGCTCTCCTTCGATTCTCTAGATCACTGTTGAGGGTAATTCCCTCGAGTTTTGTTCTTAATATCTGCTAGCCTCCGCTGAAGTCGATGGATCTCTCACTGTATCTCTACTTGGGTAGGCTTGGGTTTGTATCTCCTTGGTGGCACGACTAGGGGTTAGGGTAGGGAGGTGAAAGAGGGTGCAGGAGACTCATTTAAGGTTTAGGAAAACTAATTTGGGGTTGCTGATTTTGAAAATTAGCAAGCGCAAGTTTGGTTAGGGTTTGGGAATAGGAAAGAAAAATTTTGATGGAGGTGACTTGGGTATGAGCGGATGCTAGGTAATCATAAGATAGACTAGGGTTAGGCTAGCTCTGATATTAAATGATACCGGAGTTAACCTAAACCATAATAGAAATAGAAATACTATTGTTGAATTTAAATTGTGTTACAATGACGACTCTTCAAATTGGAAATAAGTGATAACAAACATATAATGACACAAACAAACACCCCTAAAGCATATCCCAGGGTGGTGGAGCTCGGCTAGGTGGATCGGGATGGCAAGGGTGGCAACAACAAATGAATGTTGGCGACATCGAGGGGGAATGCAGAAATGCAGGGCTAACGAGTATGGAGGCTATCCTGGGTGATAACAGCGAGGAGTGGGGGTGGATGGTGATGAGACAAAAGGAGAGGTGTTCCCTGGGCGGCAACAACGCAATGGGAAGGTTGGCACTATAGGGAGGTGTGGTTTGGGCAGCAACAAAGTTGGAAGTGGGAGGTGGCTTGGCAACTGGGGCAACCGAAAATTGCTAACGAAATGTTGTTGTGGCCGCTGAAGCGATATACAGTGATTGGGAGCTGCGGGGCGGGGGGAGTGTGTGGGGGGGTGGGGGTATGTGGAAGTAGACAGGAGGAAGATAATCACCACCTTGAGAGAGAGATACAATCAGTGCTTTACCCAACCTCTCAGATAAAACCTCTAATTCAAAGGTTCAAGCCCACATTTTATCACTCACACGACATGGAATCACAATCTTCTTTTTTGGAAGTCACCTCTAGGTTCAAGCCTACATTTTTAGTCTCTATCATACTTAATAACTCATCTCATCCAGTCACTAACTATAAATTGCATGGCCGACAATGGGCACAGTCTGAGATAGAAGGAAAGATGGACATTTCGATGATATTTCAGCTTCATAAATGAAAGATTCCAAACACTCGGTCTTGAAAATTACCGACCTTATGGTTGTCATGGTTAATAAATTCCATGATCATGGTGGTTGGAGAAGACTTTCTACTCTATAAAACAACCAAAGAGATATGGGAGGCAGCATGTGAAACCTATTATAACACTGAAAACTTCTCAGAATTATTTGAGATTGATACAAGATTGCATGATTTACGATAAGGAGAATTTAGTGTTACTCAATATTTCAACACCCTCACACATTGCTTGTTGCATTTGGACATGTATGAGATTTATTTTTGGAGATGTCTTGATGACCTTGCCTTTTATTGGAGGATTATTGAACAAAAAAAGATCCATCAAATTCTTACTTCACCTTAATAAAAACCTAGATGAAGGTAGAGGGAGAATCATGGGAATTGAATCCATTCCTACCATTCCGAGACCTTTGCAGAAGTTCGAAGAGAGGAGAGCAGAAAGTTGATGACAAATTTTTTTTTTTTGAATTATTCTCTCTTTCTTTCCTTCACCCATAAGTATTTAGAGTTCATTTCTAATTTAGAAGTTATAAAAACAATGTACTTTGGTCATGTTATTACACAACAATTTTTTTATTGGAAAATGATAAGCAGCTGCTGTGTATTGTAATATGAGCCAAGCTGGCATTCTTCACTGCTATATACTACCTTTTTAAGTTCTGTACGTGCAGTTTGTTCAACCTGCTTACCATTCCTTGATGGGGCGCCTAAGATCCAAATTTTTAGAAGATTTTAAAGCTAAATTTGACGAAGCTTTGGAAAGAGGCCAAGGGTTTGCTGTTTCTGCTCATGATTGCACCGAGTCTTTCATGTCTGCATTTAATGAAGCCTGCAAAGGTAGCTTGCTATATTTTTATTAGATTTTCTGAGCTATTTTCTATCCCAACGATTTGTCTTGTTGAGTGAATAGCTACAACAGCTTTACTCTTTTTTTTTTCCCTTTTATGTTGTTGGAAGCATTCTTTATTCATGGAGATTTCTCAATGACTTCATGCATTCTCCTTGTAGTTGATCTTAAAAAGGTAGTGGTTTGGTTCAGTTGCATTAGTTGGGTAACTGCTGCATGTCAAAGTCTTTAAACGAGCATGCATGTTCTTGCTTGCAAAGACTTGTACTCATGAAGGGATTGGTGGTTAATGTTGCTTAGAGAAGGATTTTTTTTTTGCTCATGCGAAGTTAATGAAATTTGTTGGCCATCATGCTAAAGTAGGGTTTGATAAAATATGCTTATACAGGTCTTTGTGGAAATGTTTCTTTTTTATCGGTTTCTTTAACAAGGAAATGCCTTTTTATTTCCTTCTTGTTTACTTTATTTTGCATTTGTAATTGATGGATGCTGGTGTGGATTCGCGCTAAAATACAGATGCAGCCATTGAACAAGCAGATTGGGACTCTTCAAAAGTACGTGAGAAGTTTCGGCGTGATATTGATGCGCATGTTGCTTCTGTTCGTATGAAAAAATTATCTGAGCTCACATCCTTATATGAGGTGCGGTATGACTGTAGCTAACTTTTAAGTTTTACGAGGAGAATAAATTCCTTCTCCTCTGTAATTTTATCATTCAAATCATGATAATTATGAAGAGCTGCTGCATCCCAAAAGAAATATGCTTATCTCTGTTTTTATTTCTCATACAGGAAAAACTCAACAAGGCACTTTCAGAGCCTGTTGGATCTCTTTTAGATGCTGCTAGTGATGATACATGGTCAGCAATTAGAAGGCTTCTTCAGCGCGAGACAGAGACCGCTATATCTGGTTTTTCTTCTGCTCTTTCTTCATTTGATATTGATCGGATGACTGTGGAGAAATTGCTTGCAAAATTAGTCGAATATGCCAGAAGCGTTGTTGAATCTAAGGCAAGGGAAGAAGCTGGGAGGGTTATGATGCATATGAAGGATAGGTGATGAATTTCTTCTTTAGACTGATTGTGGCCTCAATTGTTGACTTTTGTTTGATTGCATGAATCGTGCATTACAGGTTTTCAGTATTGTTTAGCCGTGATTCCGATTCAATGCCAAGAATGTGGACAGGAAAAGAAGACATTAAAGCAATTACCAAAATGGCTCGTTCAGCAGTATGTCCTGATTTTGCATTCCATTTATGTTTTTGATGTCACATAAGCTGTTGCACGCTGTTGTTCTAAAACCCATTTTGATTTTTTTAATATTTTTTTCAGTCCTTGAAGTTACTGTCTGTTATGGTTGCAATTCGTTTAGATGAGGACAAGGATAGTGTTGAGAACACCCTTCAACTTGCTTTGGTTGATTCTTCTAATATTTCCACTTCAAATAGGAGTATTCAGTCAATGGACCCACTGGCTTCGAGCTCATGGGAAGATGTAAGATCGACTAAAATTTCTTTATTATTTCTTTGGTTCTTTACCGATTCTCTATTAAGAATTTTGTTTCCGTATGTTAACTTATGCATAAACGTATTTCACCTTCACCATTTTGTTTCTGAAGCGTAAGCATTTGCTTGATACTCTAGTTTCACTCTGTTTCTCTGATAGTGGAAGCCGACAGTAGCTTTGTTACCTTACTCTTTATGTCCTTGCAAAAGTGATCGTCTGTTTTGTATTTCAAACTTTATTATAGGGGTGAGATATCATCATTCACTTTGCTTTTCCCCTCTGATAGGGAAGCATATATTTGCTTTTATTGTATTTTGTTTGCTCTTTTTCTCGTCAAATTATTCTGTCCTAATTCATAATTCTTTCAGTAGAAGTACATTGTCCGTGAGCAAGTATTATTCTTTTTTCATTGTCTTCTTAGTTTACTCTTTTTTTTTTTTTCTGTTCATAAATATATTGAAATTGTATTATTTAACATTGGTCATTTATTATTCATTTTGTGGTCGTGTTCTATCTAAACATATGTGCCTGATAGTTTACTTTTTTTTTGCTCCTTAGGTTCCATCATCGAGGACACTAATTACACCTGTTCAGTGCAAGTCATTGTGGAGGCAGTTCAAGGCAGAAACAGAGTATACTGTGACGCAGGCCATTGCTGCTCAGGCAAGCTTTTGAACGTTGACTTTTCTTGGCATATTCTTTCCTAGCCACTGGAATATTCTTTTCCTATTTAAGAATGCGCAAGCTGAAAGAGAACCATTTTTCATATTATGTGTCTTTGTATCTGTTTGGAGAGTTCTCGAGAAGAAATGTGTTGATATGACTTATATTCAAGTCATTCAAGATATGTATACTAGAGCTGTTACTTGTGTTCAAACTGAAGGAGGATTGACAAAATATTTTTCTATTTCTGTTGGATTACATCAGGGATCGGCTTTAAGCCCATATCTTTTTGCTTTAGTTATGGATGGTCTTACTAGACATCTACAGGAGGATGTACCTTGGTGTATGCTTTTTGCTGATGATATTCTTCTTGTGGATAAAACGAGAGAAAAAGCCCAGGAAAAACTTGAATTATGGAGGTTTACATTGGAGTCTAAAGGCCTTCGTTTAAGTAGAACTAAAACTGAATACATGGAATGTAATTTTAGTAGTAATAGCTCTAGTGACAGAA